TCCTTGGTAATTTATGTCCTCTTAGGCAATCTTTTCCAGAACAGTCTTGGTTCGTCACAATTAAAAACTTGCTGCAGTAGGTATTAATCAGCCTCTGCAAACTCTTTTAAATTCTTCAATAAATCTTTCAGCCGCTGGTTTGAGCTGGCAGCCTCCCCATGCCTCGCAACACTATGGATATTACTTCTTTTTCTAAATTTTTCAAACTATCCCCTGCATGCCTTAAAGTCTATCGTATCTTCACTCGTTCTAGGGGGTTTTCTTTACAAGGTCTTCATGCAATACCCTGGCGTTTTCACAAATGATGGCCTCTGAAACACTATCACCTGCTAACTCCTTGTTGTGTATCCAAATTAATAACAACTTTTCCACTTCCTCAAGTATTTGTGGTCTTTGTTTCGTGATTGTTCTTACACCTTTTGCCACTTTAGCACTCATTATGTCCTTTTTCTTGCTAAGTACTATATAGTGCATATCATTGACGTGGCTTTGTTGTACTGCCTACAGAGTTCAACAACACCTGTACCATTTTCATGTTTCCAAATGATCTCTTGTTTTTCCTCTATTGTCATCCTCACATGCGCTTTCTTGCCTTGATCCTTACCACTGGCTTCCTTGGGACCCATAGTGAGATATATAATAACAACTTTTATGGTCAAATGGCCAAAAATCCAACAAAACACTGAAAATCCTGGTGAAGAATTCAGGTGGGATAGTCACTGGGCGCGAGGCACTGGTAAACTGAGGGCCAATCGCCGTGCCACCACGCGCCAGGTCGGCCTGTACACGTATCGACACCCTTGCCTTCTGAGGCAACCCTCGTATTCCGATGTAAATTTTCCGAGCAAATCCTGCTCGTATTCCAAAGAACTCATATACAGGGACACTGGTATTCCAAAGTACCACTGTGTGTGTGTGTGTGTGTGTGTGTGTAATTACCTAAGTGTAATTACCTAAGTGTAGTTACAGGATGAGAGCTACGCTCGTGGTGTCCCGTCTTCCCAGCACTCTTTGTCATATAACGCTTTGAAACTACTGACGGTCTTGGCCTCCACCACCTTCTCACTTAACTTGTTCCAACCGTCTACCACTCTATTTGCGAAGGTGAATTTTCTTATATTTCTTCGGCATCTGTGTTTAGCTAGTTTAAATCTATGACCTCTTGTTCTTGAAATTCCAGGTCTCAGGAAGTCTTCCCTGTCGATTTTATCAATTCCTGTTACTATTTTGTATGTAGTGATCATATCACCTCTTTTTCTTCTGTCTTCTAGTTTTGGCATATTTAATGCTTCTAACCTCTCCTCGTAGCTCTTGCCCTTCAGTTCTGGGAGCCACTTAGTAGCATGTCTTTGCACCTTTTCCAGTTTGTTGATGTGCTTCTTAAGATATGGGCACCACACAACAGCTGCATATTCTAGCTTTGGCCTAACAAAAGTCATGAACAATTTCTTTAGTATATCGCCATCCATGTATTTAAATGCAATTCTGAAGTTAGAAAGCATAGCATAGGCTCCTTGCACAATATTCTTTATGTGGTCCTCAGGTGATAGTTTTCTATCTAGAACCACTCCTAGATCTCTTTCTTTATCAGAATTCTTTAAAGATTTCTCACATAATATATAGGTTGTGTGGGGTCTATGTTCTCCTATTCCACATTCCATAACATGACATTTATTAACATTAAATTCCATTTGCCAAGTAGTGCTCCATATACTTATTTTGTCCAGGTCTTTTTGAAGGGCATGACAGTCATCTAAATTTCTTATCCTTCCTATTATCTTAGCATCATCAGCAAACATGTTCATATAATTCTGTATACCAACTGGTAGATCATTTATGTACACAATAAACATCACTGGTGCAAGAACTGAACCCTGTGGTACTCCACTTGTGACATTTCTCCATTCTGATACATTGCCTCTGATTACTGCCCTCATTTTTCTATCAGTCAGAAAATTTTTCATCCATGATAGAAGCTTACCTGTCACCCCTCCAATATTTTCCAGTTTCCAGAACAACCTCTTATGTGGAACTCTGTCGAAAGCCTTTTTTAGGTCCAGATAGATGCAGTCAACCCAACCATCTCTTTCCTGTAATATCTCTGTGGCTCGATCATAGAAACTGAGTAAATTCGATACACAGGATCTTCCAGATCGAAACCGTGTGTGTGTGTGTGTGTAATTACCTAAGTGTAGTTACAGGATGAGAGCTACGCTCGTGGTGTCCCGTCTTCCCAGCACTCTTTGTCATATAACGCTTTGAAACTACTGACGGTCTTGGCCTCCACCACCTTCTCACTTAACTTGTTCCAACCGTCTACCACTCTATTTGCGAAGGTGAATTTTCTTATATTTCTTCGGCATCTGTGTTTAGCTAGTTTAAATCTATGACCTCTTGTTCTTGAAGTTCCAGGTCTCAGGAAGTCTTCCCTGTCGATTTTGTCAATTCCTGTTACTATTTTGTACGTAGTGATCATATCACCTCTTTTTCTTCTGTCTTCTAGTTTTGGCATATTTAATGCTTCTAACCTCTCCTCGTAGCTCTTGCCCTTCAGTTCTGGGAGCCACTTAGTAGCATGTCTTTGCACCTTTTCCAGTTTGTTGATGTGCTTCTTAAGATATGGGCACCACACAACAGCTGCATATTCTAGCTTTGGCCTAACAAAAGTCATGAACAATTTCTTTAGTATATCGCCATCCATGTATTTAAATGCAATTCTGAAGTTAGAAAGCATAGCATAGGCTCCTTGCACAATATTCTTTATGTGGTCCTCAGGTGATAGTTTTCTATCTAGAACCACTCCTAGATCTCTTTCTTTATCAGAATTCTTTAAAGATTTCTCACATAATATATAGGTTGTGTGGGGTCTATGTTCTCCTATTCCACATTCCATAACATGACATTTATTAACATTAAATTCCATTTGCCAAGTGGTGCTCCATATACTTATTTTGTCCAGGTCTTTTTGAAGGGCATGACAGTCATCTAAATTTCTTATCCTTCCTATTATCTTAGCATCATCAGCAAACATGTTCATATAATTCTGTATACCAACTGGTAGATCATTTATGTACACAATAAACATCACTGGTGCAAGAACTGAACCCTGTGGTACTCCACTTGTGACATTTCTCCATTCCGATACATTGCCTCTGATTACTGCCCTCATTTTTCTATCAGTCAGAAAATTTTTCATCCATGATAGAAGCTTACCTGTCAGAACAACCTCTGTGGAACTCTGTCGAAAGCCTTTTTTAGGTCCAGATAGATGCAGTCAACCCAACCATCTCTTTCCTGTAAAATCTCTGTGGCTCGATCATAGAAACTGAGTAAATTCGATACACAGGATCTTCCAGATCGAAAACCATACTGTCTGTCTGATATTATATCATTTCTCTCTAGGTGTTCTACCCATTTAGTTTTGATTAGTTTTTCCAATACTTTCACTATTACACTTGTTAATGATACAGGTCTATAATTGAGGGGGTCTTCCCTGCTGCCACTTTTGTAGATTGGAACTATGTTAGCCTGTTTCCACACGTCTGCTACGATTCCTGTACACAGGGATGTCTGAAAGATCAGGTGAAGTGGAATGCTGAGCTCAGATGCACATTCTCTCAGAACCCATGGTGAAACTCCATCTGGGCCAACTGCTTTGTTCTTACCGAGCTCCTTGAGCATTTTTTCCACTTCGTCTCTAGACACCTCTATGTGTTCTATGTCGTTCTCTGGAATTCTTATTGTGTCTGGTTCCCTAAAGATTTCATTTTGTACAAACACACTTTGGAACTTTTCGTTTAGTGTTTCACACATTTCCTTTTCATCTTCCGTGAATCTATTTCCCATTTTCAACCTCTGAATATTATCCTTTACCTGCAATTTGTTTTTATGAATTTATAGAATAGACCTGGTTCTGTTTTACATTTGTCCGCAATCCCTTTTTCTGTTTTCTGCATTTATTCGCTATTCCTTTTTCAAAATTTCTTTCTGCCTCTCTCCTTACTGCTGTATAGTTGTGTGTGTGTACTCACCTATTTGTGCTTGCAGGATCGAGCATTGACTCTTGGATCCCGCCTTTCCAGCAATCGGTTGTTTACAGCAATGACTCCTGTCCCATTTCCCTATCATACCTAATTTTAAAATTATGAATAGTTTGCTTCCACAACCTGTTCCCCAAGTGCATTCCATTTTTCCACTACTCTCACGCTAAAAGAAAAGTTCCTAACATCTCTGTGACTCATCTGAGTTTCCAGTTTCCACCCATGTCCCCTCGTTCTGTTATTATTACGTGTGAACATTTCATCTATTTTCACTTTGTCAATTCCCCTGAGTATTTTATATGTCCCCTATCATATCTCCTCTCTCCCTTCTTTTCTCTAGTGTCGTAAGGTTCAGTTCCTTCAGACGCTCTTCATATCCCATCCCTCGTAACTCTGGGACAAGCCTCGTCGTAAACCTCTGAACCTTCTCCAGTTTCCTTATGTGTTTCTTCAGGTGGGGGCTGCATGATGGCACGGCATACTCTTAAGACTGGTCTCACGTAGGCAATGTAAAGCCCCCTAAAAGCCTCCTCACTTAGGTTTCTGAATGAAGTTCTAATTTTCGCCAGTGTAGAGTACGCCGCTGTCGTTATCCAATTTATGTGCCTCAGGAGTTAGATTAGGTGTTACGTCCACTCCCAGGTCTCTTTCTCGAATCGTTACAGGTAGGCAGTTCCCCTTAATTGTGTACTGTCCCTTTGGTCGCCTATCACCTGATCCTATTTCCATAACTTTACATTTACTCGTGTTAAACTCCAGTAGCCATTTCTCTGATCATCTCTGCAACCTGTTTAAGTCCTCTTGGAGGATCCTACAATCCTCGTCTGTCACAACTCTTCTCATTAATTTTGCGTCATCCGCAATGTGTGTATGTATAATAATAATAATAATAATAATAATAATAATAATAATATAATATATATATTAGTGGCCACACTCAAATTAAACTTTATTTTTCAGAGAGGCTCTAATGGGCAGCAAGTGGAAATGTTGCGTCAAGAGAATGAGGAGGTAAAACAGAGACTCGCCAATCTCCAGCATGAGTTTTCTTTGTAAGTAATGTTTGTTATTATTTTATTAGATATTCTCTTAAGGTTTTGGTATGCTTCTTAGCCATTTTTCTGTCGATCCCAATGGTAATTACCTAAATGTAGTTACAGGATGAGAGCTACACTCATGGTGTCTCGTCTTCCCAGTACTCTTGTCATATAACCCTTTGAAACTACTGGCGGTTTTGTAATTCCTACCTTTCTGGGTGCCTAACCCCAGCCGATGGCAGATAAAGAAGACCCCAACCACAGGGGGGTTTTCCAGGGCCATTGCTCCGTGCAACCTCTCTGAAGGGGCCAGGTTCTGGCTCATGGTCCCCAGTAGGTCTGAACTCCATAGCGAATGTCCCGGTCTAATATAACATACATTAGCCCGATAAGCTCCACGGAGCCTCCGGGGCTCGCCCAGAAAATGGCGTTTTATTACATTCAACGCTGTTTTTTTTTTTACATGTATGTGATGTAGTTCTTTATTAAATTTTTATTTTTATAGTTATGCCATAAATTAACCGCATAAATTTTTGTGCAGGCTCGAGGAGCAAGTTCAGGTGCTGGTGGCAGAGCGGCGGATGGCGGAGGAGCAACAAAAAGCAGAAATTGAGGCTCAGGAAGAGGCATACATTAGCAAGCTGCAACAGTACCAGGCAACTATTGCTGCACTTGACCAGTGCAACACAACTCTAGCAGAGGACCCGCCACTTCCCCACACCAAGGTTATTTATAGTGTTTTCTCTAGTATTAAGATAGTAATTATGAGACTCAAGAAAAATGAAACGGGTTATTAAACAAGTAGAAGAGTGAATCGGGTAACGCTTGGAGACATTAACTTGCATTAGGTTATTAAACAAGTAGATTCCTATATCTTTTCAATTTAATGTTGCAGTCCTTGTGGTGTAGTGGTAAGACACTCGCCTGGCATTTTGCGAGCGCTTTTTTCTGGGTTCGTATCCTGGCCGGGGAGGATTTAGTGCGCACCAATCCTTAACTGTAGCCTCTGTTTACCCAACAATAAAATGGGCACCTGATTGTTAAACGATTTGGCGGGTCGTATTCTGGGGCATATTAGGATTAAGGACTTGCCTGAAACGTTATGTGTGCTAGTGAATGTACAAGAATGTAAGAACTCTTGTATATATAACAAAAAAAAATGTTTGTAATCTCTTTAAATATGAGTAACTTAAGAATGCTACTGAGATTGTAAGTAAAACCCATTACGAGATTCTTGGCCTGCCAGAATGTGTGGGTTATAACTTCTTATAATGATTGAAGTATTTGAGAAGTTAATGTCAAACCTAGTTGATGCCTCTTTGATAGGACTGCTACTACCCTACAAAGAGTAACACTGTACATTATAGTGAAAGAGGGAGTGTACATTAATATATGCAAGCAAAGTTAATGTTACTAACTCATGTTATTCCCTATTAATAATATTGCCCCTTTCTATGATGTAGCACTAACATATTTCTTCACAAATTTAAAATCTTCAGGTATAGTAATATTCTCTTTGTATAGCTTGTTGTGCTGTTATTGATGTTCATTAATTAATGTGGACTTGGAAATTTCTCGTAGAGGATGTTTGGTTTACAATGTTATTTTGACGTATACTTAGAAGTCATAGTTTTCTAGGGATATCTGCATTTGAATGAGAATTTTTCTGTATGTATTTGTATATGCATGTATGTACAGCCAACCACTCACTTTCAGGACACCTCTGGACCGAGACTTCAGTATGAGAAGGGCTGATCCTCTTTTTAACCCTACGTTAGTACTCTAGGGTGTCCAAGCTTTGCTAGTACCCTGGGGTGTTTACTCACCCCAGAACTGTACCCCAATGTTTACTCACCCAAGCACCCTACCCTGGGGTATTGACTTACCCTAGCACTCTACCTTGCTAGAATCCACTCGGTAAAATATCTAAACTATTGGGACCGACTAAAAGGCCTAAATCTGTATTCTCTTGAGCGCAGGTGGGAGAGATACATCATAATTCACATGGAAAATAGTAGAGGGACTGGTCCCAAACCTGCACACAGAAATAACATCACATGAGACCAGAAGACATGGCAGGATGTGCAGAATACCCCCGTTGAAAAGTAGAGGTGCAATAGGTACTCTGAGAGAGAACTATCAACATCAGAGGCCCGAGACTGTTCAACACGCTTCCACTACACATAAGGGGCATAACTGGCCGACCCCTCGCAGTGTTCAAGAGAGAACTATCAACATCAGAGGCCAGAGACTGTTCAACACGCTTCCACTACACATAAGGGACATAACTGGCCGACCCCTCACAGTGCAACCCGTTCTCGCAAATTCGTAAAGTCAATATTGACTTATTAACTACGTGCATAGGTGATATACTAAACATAATAGATACCCTTAAAAAGATTCATAGAAAACACCGACCTTACCTAACCTTGTTAGTATCTTAAGATAAGCATCTTATTGCTTCGTAATTACAATTATTACTTAACCTGTACCTATTATAGGTTAGGTAATAATTGTAATTACGAAGCAATAAGATGCTTATCTTAACATACTAAGTAGGTTAGGTAAGGTCGGTGTTTTCTATGAATCTTTTTAAGGGTATCTATTATGTTAAGTATGTCACCTATGCACATATTTAATAAGTCAATATTGACTTATTAAATTTGCGAGAACGGGTTGCACAGTGTTCAAGAGAGAACAATCAGCATCAGAGGCCCGAGACTGTTCAACACGCTTCCACTACACATAAGGAACATAACTGGCCGACCCCTCACAGTGTTCAAGAGAGAACTATCAACATCAGAGGCCCGAGACTGTTCAACACGCTTCCACTACACATAAGGGGCATAACTGGCCGACCCCTCACAGTGTTCAAGAGAGAACTGGATAAGCACCTCCAAAGGATACCTGATTAACCAGGCTGTGACTCATACTTCAGGATGCGAGCAGCTGCGTCCAACAGCCTGGTTGACCAGTCCAGCAACGAGGAGGCCTGGTCGACTACCGAGCTGCAGGGACGCTAAGCCCCGAAACCATCTCAAGGTAACCTCAAGGTAACCCTGGGGTATTGACTTACCCCAGCACTCTTCCCTGGGTTGTTGACACTCTCCCAGCAGAATGAAATCACTTTACAGTCATTTATTTTATTGAACTTAGATTTATATTGATATTCCAATATCTTTGGATTCTCTCATTTTTTCTGATATGGAATTACTACATCAATTTCCATGTTATGTATCATGCAATATAACTGACATGGCATGTTATAACTAATCTTTTTATTTGCTGTTTATTAAGATGTAAACAAACATGAATGTTTATTTGGCACATGCATCATTATCACACAAATGAGTATCATTGAGTTAATGTTCAATGTTCCTACAATCCAATGCACGTTTGTGAACAAATTGACCCCCTCTGACTCATCACTTGATGGACTATTTAATTTTTGGGGAGTAACAGGAATTGATAAAGTTGACCAACATCCAAGTGCAGGAATATAAGGTTAAGGGGTGTATTACCTGTTTGTATACTTAAGTGTGTTGAAAGTTTATACATTAATGTAACTGTTTCATAAAGCCATTATCTCAATCAATTGTTATTAAAAAGCACTTTGTTTTGTGTCGTAGAAAAGATTAAATATAATTGTCATTATTGGGCATTCAAAAGTATAGAAAATATAACAAAAATTATATATCTACCCTTACTTTGGCTTTGGGAGCCGGGCGGTCGAGCGGGCAGCACTCTGGACTTGTGATCCTGTGGTCCTGGGTTCGATCCCAGGCGCCGGCGAGAAACAATGGGCAGAGTTTCTTTCACCCTATGCCCCTGTTACCTAGCAATAAAATAGGTACCTGGGTGTTAGTCAGCTGTCACGGGCTGCTTCCTGGGGGGTAGAGGCCTGGTCGAGGACCGGGCCGCGGGGACACTAAAAAGCCCCGAAATCATCTCAAGATAACCTGGACCCTAAAATGGATTAAATGGAAACTTAGACCATGGAACTACACCCTAGGTGTCCACCCTAGGGTGTCTCCTAGGCACCCTCTGGACACGGGTGCCAGAGGGTGCCTAGGCGCACCATTTTACAAGGAGCCAGGGTCGGATGCCCAGTCCCTAACCCTGTCAAAACGTTTTCCTAAACTACCTCTGGTTACAATGTCGCCAGTTGCAACATTGCCAACAGCTCCGAGGTTATCCTCGATGTAATGTGGTTAGAGCAACAACACGTTACTCACAGGCTCAAGCATGTTGCCCCGTTGGGAGGTGTTTGTTTCCTTAGAAGGTAAAGCACCTGTAACACAGGCATCCAAATGAACTATGTTGGATAATTGTTCTATGAATTATTAACATATGTCTCATAAATCGTCCGAGCAATTTTATTTGGTTAAACTAAAAATGAGGAACTTGGGAATCTGAGTAACCTGTCACTGGAAAATATGTGGTTGGCAGTATGTATATACAGAATGAATGAATATGTAGGTATATATATATATATATATATATATATATAGGTAAATACATATACCTACACATATGTAGGTATGTATTTGTGTATCTATGTATCCGTGTATGTATGCATGCTTGTGGTAATACAGTGGAACCTCATAAATCTAGAATACATTATTCTAAACCCTTACAGATTTTCAAATATTCCAAAATTTCAAATACTTAAACTTAATATTTTTTCTGAGGGACGCCCCGTCGGCTCCCTGAAGCGAGGCTCAGGGAGCAATGTCCATATGAGCGCTCTACATTTAGAGTTTGTTTGAAACAACTGATGGTTTTGGCCTCCACCACCTTATCACCTAACTTGTTCTCACCGTCTACCACTCTGTTTGTGAAAGTGAATTTTCTTATATTTCTTCGGCAGCTTTGTTTAGTTAGTTTAAATCCATGACCTCTTGTTCTTGAAGTTCCAGGTCTCAGGAAATCTTCTCTATCTATTTTATCAATTCCTGTTACAGTACTGTTATGTACGTAGTGATCATATCACCTGTTTTCCAAATTGTTTCAACCAATTTTTTTTTTTTTTTTTTTTTTTATTTAAGAAACATGGAGCAGCCTACCTGCCGACCACTGAATGAACCTTTTTGACATTTGTTCTGTTTTTCAAAATTTTTTATTTTTTTTTTTTATTTTCATTTTTTTTATTTAAGAAACATGGAGCAGCCTTCCTGCCAAACACCGAACGAACCTTTTGGTATAAGACAAATAAAAAAAAAAATTGAACAAAGTTGAAGAAAGAAAAGTGTCATAAAGGTTTATTCAGTGTATGTAAGGTAGGCTGCTCCATTATTTAAAACATCGAATATCATATTGATGTTTTTCGGTGGTAGAACGGATTACTTTGATTTCCATTATTGTCAATGGGGATATTCGTTTTGTATGACGTCCGTTTCACATGACGATCATGGCGCCGGAACGGATTAAATTCGTTATTCGAGGGTTCCACTGTACTTATTTTGTCCAAGTCTTCTTGAAGGGCATGACAATCATCTAAGTTTCTTTATCCTTCCTATTATCTTAGCATCATCAGCAAACATGTTCATATAATTCTGTATACCAACTGGTAGATCATTTATGTAGACAATAAACATCACTGGTGCAAGAACTGAACCCTGTGGTACTCCACTTGTGACATTTCTCCAGTCCGATACATTGCCTCTGATCACTGCCCTCATTTTCTCAGTCAGAAAATTTTTCATCCATGTTAGAAGCTTACCTGTCACCCCTTCAATATTTTCCAGTTTCCAGAACAACCTCTTAAGTGGAACTCTGTCGAAAGCCTTTTTTAGGTCCAGATAGATGCAGTCAACCCAACCATCTCTTTCTTGTAAAATCTCTGTGGCTCGATCATAGAAACTGAGTAAATTCGATACACAGGATCTTCCAGATCGAAAATCATACTGTCTGTCTGATATTATATAATTTCTCTCCAGGTGTTCTACCCATTTATTTTTTATTATTTTTCCAATATTTTCACTATTACACTTGTCAATGATACAGGTCTATATTTGAGGGGGTCTTCCCTGCTGCCACTTTTGTAGATTGGAACTATGTTAGCCTTTTTCCACACGTCTTCTATGACTCCTGTACACAGGGATGCCTGAAAGATCAGGTGAAGTGGAATGCTAACTGTATTCACCTAGTTGTGTTTACGGGGGTTGAGCTTTGCTCTTTCGGCCCGCCTCTTGACTGTCAATCAACTGTTTTACTAACTACTATTTTTTTTCTCCACACCACACACACACACACACACCCCAGGAAGCAGCCTGTGACAGCTGACTAACTCCAAGGTACCTATTTACTGCTAGGTAACAGGGGCATTCAGGGTGAAAGAAACTTTGCCCATTTGTTTCTGCCTGGTGCGGAAATCGAACCTGCGCCACAGAATTATGAGTCCTGCGCGCTATCCACCAGGCTACCAGGCTCCCTAGTGTGTACTCGCCTAATTGTGCTTGCAGGGGTTGAGCTCTGGCTCTTTGGTCCCGCCTCTTAACCGTCAATCAACAGGTGTACAGGTTCCTGAGCCTATTGGGCTCTATCATATCTGCACTTGAAACTGTGTATGGAGTCAGCCTCCACCACATCATTTCCTAATGCATTCCATTTGTCAACCACTCTGACACCAAAAAAGTTCTTTCTAATATCTCTGTGGCTCATTTGGGCCCATTGTGTGTGTGTGTGTGTGTGTGTTAGAAAGATATACATGTAGTAGATATAATAGAGGAAAAATAGATTGGTTAGAAAGGCAGGGTCCAAGAGCTAACAGCTCGATCTGCAGACACAAATAGTAAATTCAAATAGTAAATACACATATACATGCATACATTCATGTATGTTAGTAGACTCTGTTGTCGTGGCATGCACGTTTTAAAGCATTAAATTTTAACACTTGCCTTTACTGACACCCAACTTTTCTCAGACTTATTTTGTATAGTGTGTGATTGTGTGAGCTTGAGTCAGTCGTCAGTGACTAACACCGGCACCTGCTATAATTAGACCAGCTAATTGTAAGAATATAAAATTCTTAACCTGTTGAGCATTTTGATGATTATCTTTCTTAAATTTTATTGTACCTTTATTTGGCATAAACTACAGACATAGGACTTGAATAGTTATTGCAATTGCAAGATTAGTTATTGTAATTAATGCTGTATAAGACTGTGTGTCAATATTAGTTATCTGTATTGGGCTGATGTCAAAAAATATATTAAGCGAAATATCTTCAGCCATTTTATTTTTGCACAGGTTGAAGAGTGCCACCCCAAGAAGGAGGCCTATATTAGTAATGACTCTGTTGTGCAGATGTTGGCTGAGCGGTGTCACACCTTGGAGCAAGCCAACAAGAAGCTTCAGAATGAAGCTCGTGCACAGCAGCGCCAGTATGAAGTTTGTCTCGATCGTGTTGCCACTCAAGTCGTCCAGGCACTCCTTTCCCAGAAGGTGAAACATAAATGTAATGTGAACAAATCCACAAGGGCCGTGACGAGGATTCGAACCTGCGTCCAGGAGCATCCCAGACACTGCCTTAATCGACTGAGCTACGACAGGGTTAAAAGGGTTGAACCTGGACGCTGGTTCGAATCCTCGTCACGGCCCTTGTGGATTTGTTCATTTGATGCATCACGTTAGTGTGATCTCTGTGTGTGATAAATGTAATATATTATAATAGGGCTCTGACTTAACATGATCTTACTTATGATGACTCTTACGCGTGACAACTGACAACAGAAGGCATTGTGATGGTGGTGGCAGTGTGTGGTGGGCATCTTGCATTTCCTCAGTCAACTTCTGTGTTCCAACTCAAGATCACTGTGGCATCCAGGAGCGATTGATTCTTTTTTTTAGTAAAAGGAACTTAATTGTGATTGAGTATGTTGGTTGTAGTGTTCCAAGGCCAAGAAGAATGAGAGCCATACTATTTACATTGAAGGTGGACATAGCAGATTGCTCATAGAAATATGGAATATTAACCCTTAAACCGCACAAAACATACATGTACGATTTGACATTACTCAAGTTTTTAAAAACTTGCACAAACACTTTCTAATTTTTTGTGCATAATCAACTAGGCAAAAGCTTCAACGTTCTCTAAATGATCACAATGTAACTTGAAAAACAAAAGAATCATAATTAATTTTAAAATTGAATATTGAAAACTTCAGATTTTCAAATCGGAATAAACGAATATGAACTATCACCATTTGTTCATTTGGTGTTGTTATTCTCTCAGAATAACATTATGATTTTCATTTTCATCAAATTAGAATATAGGTTTTCAGTATAGTTTACTGTAAAAAATCGTAAATATGGCATTTGAAATAATGCGGCAAATTTAGACCCCCCAAAATTATAACTCCAAATGTATAAAGTATATGAAAAATCTATTTTGAAGGGCTTGTTTAACAGACAGCTGAGCACACAATGCCAAAATAGGGAGAATCGATCAAAAACTGGAATTTTAGAAGTTGAAACTCTTAGTTTCAGAGATAATTGAAATTGAAGTTATCAGCAATGAATAAAGGTAGTTTTAATTCGTTAACTTAATTGTATGTTTTAGTAAACATTGTTTGGCATTCATACTCGAATATGTGAAAGTTGTAGGTCAATATGTGTTGATGCCAAGAAAAAATAACCCCCCCAAAACACAAAATATAGGGATAATTATAATGATTTAGGAGATATATTTAGGGTATACTTTATATAAGTGAAAAAGCCTTAATATGGTCCCTAATCAAAACAACCTAAAGAGACAAACAAAATAAGAGTTTGAAATCTGAGAAAATAATCAGCCAAAAAAATTCAAAGTTCCAAGTTCTGCGAGTTGTGACTGATTTATTTGTTGACCCATTCCATTCTATCTTCACATAGTTAGGGAAACACAGGCGTTTTCAGGATGTAAAGGTTACAACAAAATCACATAATAAACAAAGGAGAAAAAAACTAAAATCTTAAAAAAAAAAAAATCCCTTAAAAATTTTGTTTGGGGGACATTGATGAAAGTAACAGGAATTACCATTGGACAATGTATTTGTATGATATATAACAAAATAGAGCATAATAACATAGTTATTCATTATTATTTGTGTTATTATGTATTACTCAGCAATGGTATAAAGGCACCAGCTGCATATCCACTTTGTGGGCACTTCTTACGACTACTATTCTTCTTTGTGCGTCGGACAGGTGCTTGTATCTCTCTATTACAGCATTATCACTCGGTTCCAGTTAATAGGAGCTGTTCTCCTTATCTTGAGGTTATCTTGAGATGATTTCGGGGCTTTTTAGTGTCCCCGCGGCCCGGTCCTCGACCAGGTCTCCACCCCCAGGAAGCAGCCCGTGACAGCTGACTAACACCCAGGTACCTATTTTACTGCTAGGTAACAGGGGCATAGGGTGAAAGAAACTCTGCTCATTGTTTCTCGCCGGCGCCTGGGATCGAACCCAGGACCACAGGATCACAAGTCCAGCGTGCTGTCCGCTCGGCCGACCGGCTCCCCAACATCCTTAACAAAATGTTCATATTTTTTAAAAATTCGTCTGAAATCAATTTCTGAAAATATTTTTATGAAAGTTTCATGACACTGAAGCCAATAAGTTGGAGATTTGTTTAAAATTTTAAAGTTATTTTTACATAATTCAAATATTTTTTGCTTCCGAGCCCCCAATATTCGTGGTTTAAGGGTTAATGTGGAATGCACATGTTCATGAAATAAACTACTTAACAATTGGCACCATTATCAAAGATGACTCTAGCATTATAGTATGTATGAATGGTTGAGCATTAATACATTCAGTAATAATTATCAATCAGTGCAGTTATTAATTCTGACATGGAAAGGCTTACATTGTCACATTTTACTGACTAATTCTCCATTAATTAAACCATTCAATAATTATTATATCCATTAAGGTAATTCCAACAATCAAAGTACTGTAAATAAAATCAGTGTTCAACTCTCCTTATATTTAAAATGTTTTTAAATGTTTTTTTTTTCATGTTTCGAGAACCTAATTCCATTTATAGGGTATAAATTAATTTTAAAATTAAATATTGAAAATTTCAGATTTTCAAATCAGAATAAAAACAAATTTGAACTATAACCAACTGTGATAGTGTAACAAACGGTGTGGTATGGTGTATGGTGACACGTATATTATATTCATAGATCAACCAAACAGTGTTCTTGCTGTTATTACGTTATATATCACTATCAACATTTATATGCACCCTAACAAACTAATAAACAGTTCTGGTGGGTATGGTGATGAAATCAAAACACAGCATGGAGCCACATGATACGAGCAGAGGACACCAGCAGTGACACGATGCAAGACAATGCCTCCATTATTCTACACGTCTCACTTTGACTAGCTACAAAACACTGTTATTACCACATTCTTATCACAAACTTATTAAATTCTTGACACAATCCTGAATGTGAATCCATTTCAATAGGGTTTTTATTGTGAATGAACATAAGGTCGTTTCATGATGCGTAGATGCAGGAAACAATGGCTGGGTGCTGTGTCTTTACCTCATGCTGTGAATATCATAACTAGCATTGTATTCACTGATATCTGAATGTTGTACATAGTCTTTATCACAGTCAGGATCACCTATGACACTATCAGTAGCAGTATGACACTATCATCCTGCAGTTTCGGGAGACTAAGGAATTGCGCTCTGGTTGTCGAAGCTGCAATATCCTCTTCAGGGCGCAAAGCCTGTGTAGGTCGATATGGAGGAGAAGCTGTTACCCTTGCATCAGGTTCCCCCTCTCCATGTTACTGAAATTTTTCAGTGGAAAGGCAAAAGCCAATACGCTTGGTTCCAGCACCGTCGCCGGAGCTGCCAAAACGAGGTTGAAGTCAACAACGAACTGCCTTAGGGGGCTCAACTCTGGATTTTTCCTCGAAGTTGACTCCCGAAGCCCGTGCCAAAAGTGGGTATGGCCGCGAGGCAGTGGATGTTTGAGATCTTGGTTTTCCTGTCCCTAGATGCTCTGCCATTCCAGGCTGTCGAGTCCCATCTACCTGGAGCAGTTGGTTGTAGCGCGCCAAAGGCACGAGCTCATGCACGAGGACGAGGACCTGAAGGACTGTCCCTGGTACTACTACTCCTGCAGCAGGCTGGTAGAGGGCCCTGCAGACTGAGAGTCCTCCAGGGACTACTACTACACACAACTCAAATATTATATCATCATTATTATTATTAAAATATTAATGTAATAATATATAATAATTATATTATAATAATATGTAAAGATTCTAATATATATTATTATAATATTAAAATAATAATTATATATTATTACAATATTAACATTATAATAATGATGATGATATTATAATAATATTTGAGTATCAAATCAAATCAACTATCAACACAAAATAATTTGTTACCTATTTTATTCCTCATTACTAAGTAGTGCTGTGACCCCTAGCTGCACAGTGGTGCTTTGCGTTGCTCCTTCATGCACCAATCTTGGTCGATCACTCGGTACTAAGACGCTCCCAGCCAGCACGATGATGACGATTTTTTTTTCAAGATCGCATCTGTTTCATGAAGTCCTGAGGCACAGGATGTGAGCCCTGTGTACTCGTGGGAGTTTTGAATCGCTCCCTATACCTAAAAGTGCCATATGGCACTGCACAGTTCAGTGGTTAAGGGACAATTTAACTTAACCTAAATAAATATATCAGACACGTGTTCTCTGGCCTGTACCTGGATCTACTTACATGGATCTCCAGGTTATGACCTCAAGATAGATATCATCTCAAGATAAGGGGTACACAGACAAGGTTACTCTCAGAACAGAAGGGGGGCACTAAAATCAAGGGGTACTTAACTCAGTAATCATCTAGAGAACTTAGAGTAGAAGAAGTGGAGAGGGGGATGCCCCGCCAATACAGGGGTACCTCAGCTTACGAATTTAATCCGTTCCCAGAGACGGCTCGAAAGCCGAATATTTGTAAACTGAAGCGAATTTCCCCATAAAAAAATAATGTAAATTAAATTAATTTGTTCCAGACTCCACAAAAAATGAACTTCAAAGTAAATTTTGTACCCAATTCACCCAAATCTTCAGTACTAAAATATGTACAAGTTATTACTTACCTTTACTGATGACTTGTGTTGGCGTATGGAAGACGGTGGGGAGGAGAGGTGGTAGTGTTTGGAAGGGGAGTCCCCTTCCATTATAACATGAGGCAGTGATAACTTCTCTTGGGGTACACTCTCTGGCACGTTTTGCCTGCATACCACCACGATCATCTGCTTGTGGCTCACTGCTTGATTATCCCACTAAAAACCTGTCTAGCGACACTTGTTTTTCCCTACATTGTAACACTTGTCTGAAGTGAGACATCGCATTATCATTAAAAAGGTTAATACAATGGCCTGCTACAGCTTGATTTGGGTGACACTTTTCAGCAAAACTTTGCAATTCTTCCCATACTGCACACATTTTCTTAATAAATGAGGAAGGGACGTACTCTACATCAGCAACCCTCTTAACCATCTTCTTTTGTGTGGTTTGGTCATCATTGGTTGGGCTGTTTAACTTTACTAGTCTTTTTTTCAGGTAGGTTTTGGATGTTTTGTGATGTTTTCATTGTTGTGGACTGTTAACTGGTAGAAGGTTGCTCAGGGATTCTCCCATGCTCCTCCATCTGAGTAAGGGGGTGGGCAAGATATTAGTACAGTAGTTGCTCCTGGTAGGCCAAGTCAATCTCAGGAACCTGATATTATGTTGGGTCCCCTGAAGTTCCAGTGCAGTCTTAGATGCTTCTGACGTACCACCCTGAAACGACCATTTCAATATATTCAACATTATTTTAATGAGGATGAAATGAAGACAATATTGCTCATGGACTAATGATATTTAACAGAGTCATCAGGAGCAGTGTATCAAGTTAGCTCACCAGGTACAAGATTTAAGACGACAGAATGCTGCACTGTCTACCCTGGTGGGACCTGCTGGGACGCGACAGACTCTGCCTTGCTCTCATCGTCATCGCTGCCCACCGCCACCACCAACAAATCCTACTAACTTCTTGAGTTTACCAACATCACTCACAAGAAATAGACAGGTAATGTTTATGGAAGTGTTGTGCATTTGCATATTTTACTGAGATGAACTAGTTATTCCTTTGATTTGTAACTAACCTTTTGGGTCGGATTAGTTACAAAAGTATATGTTGGTCGGCAGGTTTTCCATTTGTTCTCGTTAGGAATCCTGGATATCCTGGATCTAGTTTGTTAACACTTTCACGCCCCGGGCCTGCGTTCTGCGCGTATGCACGAACTACTCCTGGTGGTGCGGTCGAGTTTGCGGCGACACTGAAATGTGTACTGTATACTCGTTTCAGTTTTCTCACCTTAATTTTCATGCTACATCGTTTTGGTATCATTGTGTTCGCAATAGAATTCCCTACAGGTGTATATTCATATAATGTCCAAAAGCCCACCGTGACTCCCCACAGCAAAGCCTAAAGTCTGTAAAAGTTACCCGGGAGCGCACAAAATCAGGAAAAATGTGTATACTCGTTTCAGTTTTCTCACCTTAATTCTCGTGCTACATCATTCGTTTTGGTATCATTGTGTTCGCAATTAAATTCCCTGCAGGTGTATATGCATATATTGTCCAAAAGCCCGGCGTGACTTCCCTTAGCAAAGCCTAAAGTTACCCGTGAATGAGCACCAATTGGCACACCCGCAACCTAATGTGTATACTGGTTCAGTTTGATAACATTAATTTTCGCGTTACGTCTTTCGTTTTGGTATCAAATTGTTCGCAATATAAAGGCGCGTATTTTAAAACTAGTCTCTTAATAATAGCGCAATAAATGGAATTTTAACAAATATTTTAAATTTTGTATGCTCATCATAACAAAATTATTTATATCTTGAGGTTATCTTGAGATGATTTCGGGGCTTTTTAGTGTCCCCGCGGCCCGGTCCTCGACCAGGCCTCCACCCCCAGGAAGCAGCCCGTGACAGCTGACTAACACCCAGGTACCTATTTTACTGCTAAGTAACAGGGGCATAGGGTGAAAGAAACTCTGCCCATTGTTTCTCGCAGGCGCCTGGGATCGAACCCGGGACCACAGGATCACAAGTCCAGCGTGCTGTCCGCTCGGCCGACCGGCTCCCTTTCTCCCATATCTTTCCAGTGGTCTGACATCAATTTTCTTGTTACATCGTTCATTTTAGTGTCAAATTGTTACCAATCTAAAGGTGCACATTTTAAAACTAGTCCCATAATACTAGCACAATAAATAGAATTTTACCAAATATTTAAAATTTGGACCAAAAAGTATTTATAATCTTTCCAGTGTTCTGACGTAAATTTTCGTGTTACATCTTTCATTTGGGTATCAAATTGTGCGCACTCTAAAGGCGCTCATTTTAAAACCACTCCCAGATTGATTGGATAAAATTTAAATTTTTAACAAATATTTTAAAATGTAGACATCACTCGCGTCACCAACTCGGACTCGAGAGAAAAATTATGGACGCCAAGGGCATTACAAGAGTGCAAAAGTGTTAATTTTGTTAACATTTAATAATACAATATCATTGCTGAATTATATATTTAAATTAAGGGTATGCATAAACCCGTCCTTATACTATACACTCCTAGTAATTACAGACAAATGTAAATTTGCTCAGTTATTTCATGCTTTGCTGACAGAAGCTAAATTTCTTAAATAGATGAATGTCAGAATTTATTAAATTTCTTCCTGTTTAAGCTCCGTGCTGCACCACATTTATTTTGACATTCCGGTGGTGCGCCAAAAATAAAGTGTTCCCCCAATTTTTTTTCTTTGTAAATTGTTAAAAACCCATCCCTGAACATGTACATTTAAAAAAAAATAATAACAACAACAATAACAACTTACTTTGACTGTGGGGACATGGAGAAAGTTCGATGTGACATCATTAAGGTCTGTGCGACTGTACAGGAAGCTCCCACAGGCTCAATGTGTTCACGGATGCGTCGTCTCTCTGCTGGAGCTTTGTAACCAGTGCTCACCAGGCCGGCCAGGGGCGGTGGGGTCCGTCCTTCCGTCGGCTCCACAGCACAGTGCGGGAGTGGGCGGCAGTGTAGTTTGTGCTTTGGAGGGTTCGGGTCGCCTGTGGATCGACGATCCGGCTCCATTCGGACTGTTCCCCAGTCCGAATGGCAATGAACGAAATGAATGGCAATGAAATGGCAATCCCCCAGTTCAGGCAATGAACCAGTGGTTCATTGCCTGAACCGAGGGGATTTGATGTGGTCCTTGTCTCTTTAGGGTTGGTCGTTTTGGGTGACTCATTTGCCGAGTTCTCGGGGTTTGGCTCTCCTGGCGGTTCACATCCAGGGGGTGTCCAGCGTCCTAGCAGATGACCTGTCCTGGTTCGTTCCCCTATCCACGGAATGGACAGTCAATGCCGACTCATTCAGTTGGCTCTGCCAGTTGTTCAGGCGCTTGGAGGTGAACCTCTTTGCGTCGGCGTGATTGAGGCGTCTTCCAGTATATATGGCACCCTTCCCTGACCACGAGGCTGTCGGGATTGACGCTTTTCGGCAGGACTGCTCGAGGTGTAGGTTCCTGTACCTCTTCCCCCCAGTTCAGCTGTTGCTCCAGGTCCTGGCTCGCTTGCAAACTTACCAGAGACGAGTAGTCCTCTTGGCCCTGTGGTGGCCGGCCCAGCCGTGGTTTCAGGCGCTGCTTGCCCGGTGTCTGAACCTGGAGGTTTTTCCGCGGCTCCGGCTCTTTCAAAAGATCTGCCCTGTCCGTTACGGGACTGGTTTCTCTTCTCGAGTCTTTGCGTTTGGTATTTTTTACTCGAGTTTATCACCATCTGTACGGTGATCAGGTGGCCTCATTGATGGTGTCCAACCTGCGGGCTTCATTTCGGCAGCAGTATGAAGTTTCCTGGCAGTCCTTCCGTTTCCTTTTGACTCTTCGTCCTTGTACTTCGCTTTCGGTTTGGGTGGTGTTGTCCTTTCTCTCGTGGTTGTTCCAGAACTGCCATCTTATGCTGAATACTGATGCCTCGTATCGTGCAGTGCTGGCGGAGCCGCTTCAGCTTGCTTTCGGTATAGAAGTTACTTCTGCGCCGTTTTGCAAGCTGTCTCGTGCGTTGTTCCATCTCCAGCCTGCTCATGTGCTGCCTGAGCCGTCCTGGTCTTTGGACAGAGTGCTCTCCTATATCTCTTCTCCTCAATTTGTTGTGACCCCTTTGGTTCAGGATTGTTTTTCGAAGGCTCTTTTTCCTGTTGGCCTTGGCCTCTGGGGGTCGGGTCGGGGGGCTTCATGCTCTCCTCCAGCGCAAGGGTTTCTGCTCTTATGGTTGTGGAGATAGGTTTATTTGTCTGCAGCAGTCTCCTTCTTTTCTGGTGAAGAATGGGACTGCTGCTTTCCAGAGGGGTCCTTGGGTTGTTGATGCTTGGTTGGTCAGGCCGGGGGTGCGTCATTTGTTGTGTCCGGTTGTGACCCTTCGCTGTTATTTGCGCGCCACGGCTTGTGTCCTGGGATGCGCTTTTGGTTGATCCAGGTTTCCTTTCTTCCCTGTTCGTGGGTACGGGTCTCTCAGGTCGTCCGCAGGGTTATTAAGTTTAGCCAGCCTGCGGTCTATCCCCGTGCCCATGACATTTGTAAGTTCGCTGCTCATGCTGCCATCTTTGGGAACATGTCCTGGGCTGACATTCAGGCACGAGGTTTTTGACGGTCAAACAGGGTCCTGGCTGCACGCTATCTCGTTAACGTTCCTGGGCCCAGTCGGGCCTGTGTCGCTTTGGGTCGGCGGCTGCAGCCTGTCTCGACTTTGAGTTGAGTTGTGGAGCACCGACCACCTCCCGGTTAAGTCCCCTTCTTTCCTTAGTCTTTTGATGAAGTCCTATAGCTCCAGGGAACCTCTGGGGCTCACCCAGAAAATGGCGTTTCATTACATTCAAAGTTGGTTTTTTGAACGTGGAGGTAACATTGTTAATGTTTAGAAACAGAGTTGAGAGTAGACTTATTTTTAGATGGAATATCTCCTGCAGGACTTTATTTAACCCTTACTTATACTTGATAAAGTCCTTAAAGGTATATGTCACCAGCAGTAAAGTCTGCTCTGAACTAGATGTTTCTCTACTTCATTGTCAGCATACTAATCTGTTCAATCAGCCTTCCATTATTATAAAAGATGGCTTTTGATGTTTCGTGTATGAAGCAGTGTCATTTTCTGGCTATTGTACTGACGCTATCATAGTCGTGATTATTAAGAATTGATGTCTCTTCAAGTTATTCATGCTATATAACAATGAGTGCCTTAAAGTTTTTTAATTGTGAATTATGCAAATTTTTATTTAATTTTATATAAATTTAGTTTTAGTGGTGCCATTGCATACTCTATGCTCAAACAAATAATGATCCATGAATAAAGTCAAATGATGTGGTGACTTTGTCTTTGTAAACAGGAGAATGAGGTGTGGCCATCAGAGGGATGGGTTGCTTCATGGCATGTAGAAGAGAGCAGCAGAAGTCACCTGGGTGACCACACTTCCTCCCAGGGTCACTTTCACTCCAGCCTCCACATGTTATCAGACACCAGTATTCCAACCACACTCTCACTAACAGATCACAATACCACCACGTCTAGTAGTGTTCGATTAGGAGAAGATTGCTATACCCCTCAGGAAAGATTAGCATCTACAACAACGACAATCACTACCACAAATTCCTCCACAACTACTTGTTGGTATGATATAATCACCTCTCTTAGTGCTACCACCTCTCCTCAGGGCACAGCAGTTGTAAATACCCAAGATTCAGCAGTAACTCCAAGAATATGTGATGGATCCAATATTTGGAGTCAGCCAGACCAAGTAATGTCTGAAGTAGGGAGAGCAAGTACTAGTAGTAGCAGCATCTCAGAATCTCCAGTTCAATCCTCTTATGATTCACATGCCATTATTTTTTCAAGAGAGACCGGAGTTAGTTATGCTTCTAATGGGTGCGAGAGATCGTGTGAAACACGGATGTGTGCGACTCCCCTTCCCGACAGCGACTCTCCTTCCAGCAAGTTTTCACCTCTGTCTGTTGAATCTGTAAGTACCAGCTTCACTAACTCTCCTGACCAGAAAAACTGCAAAATATTTCATGCCAAACTTGATAACCTTGCCTTTGATAAAGCAAAGATAAAAGTTGTCCATGATGAAGAGTTGTTAAGTAAATCTCCATGTGAGAAAAATGCAAATATAGTAGTGAATAGTGTTAATACAGATACAATTTGTAGTATACTTCAAGTAAAAGAAAAATTGATGAAATCCTTAACAGAAACTGAGAATAGTGACTTCACCCTTGATTTATCAGTATTATCATGTGAGGATAAGAACAAAGTAGTATTGAACAAGAATCTTGTCAAAGTTAGTTTAAAGAATTGTGGTAATGAGACGAGCGTAGGTGAGGAAATTATGGAAGGAACAACTAAGGATGAGGGTTACTCCACAATGTCCAGTGATGTGCAAGCAGATGTCAAGGATTGTATTACCACTTGTTCTGTTACCACTGTTCAAGAGGAACCTCTTGCACCCACTCCAGTTGAATGTACAGATCAAGACTTAACAAATACTATGAAAGAGAGTCTTTCCAGAAAAGGGTCCAATAAAAGCGATACTAATTCCTTAGAACGAAACGTGGTTAAAGAAAGAAAAATTTCCTCGGCTGCTAATGCCGAGTATTGTGATGGGCTTCGCATTATATACGATGAAGAAGACAACAATTCAGATGTGTTTTTTATACCCATTCAAGAGCCAGAAAATGAAAGCTTATATAGACATAGTTATCACGTGACTTCTTGTGTACGGAGAGATAGACCAGTTCGTTGTTATTCCGATTCTCAGTTATATTTAGAAAGAAGAAGTGCTCATAATCCCAAACCATTGACTAGCTTAGAAAGACATGTTTCTGAAAAAGATCTCTCAGATAGGTCTCCATCAACAGAGGTGGTTTTAGAAGAAGCTAATAAAAGTAGGAGTTTAAAGCGATCATCAGGGCATGCCAGTCTCAAAAGAAGTCAGATGTATGCAAAAGAAGAGCACACTACTTCAGGTAGTAGTGAAGAATTGTGGCCTTTAGAAGATAACCAGAGAAAGTACCTCTCTCCTACCTACAGTCATGCGGAGCTAGAGGACTGGTCACTTGACTTATCTTCGGAGTACCTGAGTGGGGCATGTGGGGAGGGTGAGGGAAGTGAGAGTGTGGGAACTAGTGGTGCTCATCATGGCTCGCTGCCGTCCATTCAGGAGGCTACCCCAGAATTAGAGGAAGACAATAATGAGTTCCTCTGGAATGGTGCTACCTATTTTAAAGCAGATTTAGATTTAAATTGGTCAAGCAAAAAAGAGCTAACCAAAAGTTGGCAGCTAGATCATTCTAAAGAAAGTCATGTTGTTTTGTCTCCCAGATCGGGATGTTCCGATCAACCGGCCGTTTGGTCAAGTAGTGAGCAACTGTCGTGCTGCTCTGAAGGGATTTCTAAGTGCAGTTCAGACTTTGAAAACTTTTGTGAACAGATTTGTAATCTGCCCGAGTTAAAGAGAGTATCGTTTTGTAGTAGTGAGGCAGGTGGTCAAGAAGCATCGAAGGCAGCCAGTCAGGAAACCTCCAGTGTGGGGGAACATGAGGAGGAGCTTGCTGATGATGTGTGTGTTGATACTGTTTTTACTAGAGATTTCTACCGCCTTGTTAAGTTTGAAAGTAATAAGAGTTTAGCAGCATCGTCGAAGAGCTTAGCTACATCAGATGGATTATTAACTATTGAAAAGTTGCAAGACTTAGAGTCAGGAGGAACACACAAAGAAGCTTTAGCCTCAGTTCTTGGCTTCATTGCTGAACAGCACAAGTACTGTAAAGAAAGAGAAGCACAAGATGAAAAAGTTAAAAGTCATTCTAGAGATTTACTAAAAATAGCGAACACAATTGAAAACTCTGGATCTCCATTAGCTTCAGTTCTACTTCGGGGAACATTTCCTAAAATATCACCGAGAGAAAGTTCTACTGATATATGCAGTACTGCAGATGAATTTTCAATGCGAACGTTGCCATCGCAGCAATGGAAACCCACTAGTCGAGGTTCGCTCAAGGCCAAGGTTCCCCCTCCTGTCCCTGCAAAACCAAAATCGTGTCTTCAACAAGACCCACAAATAGGTGCTACCAGCAGTAACTGTATTCCTGCCAGATGTCCCTCTACTGCTACAACCTCTTCCCTCCCAGTTGTGCCACCGTCTACCCTTCCAGTCTTGCCGGCCATTTCTCCACCGGTACCTTCTGTGCCTTCTCGGTCATCTAGTTTGGCCCCTCAGGTTATACCTGCTTGTGAAGTGGACGTACCACTCACTCATGTTCCCAAGGTGCCCATCAGGAGTGCCTTGCACCTTCCTGGTACAAATTCCATCACCGAGAAAGTAATATATAGTACACCGGCAGATGGACCTTGTCAACACACTCCAGTGCCTGACCAAAATGTTAGCAATGTACCTACACTGCCAGTGGTTGGTGGTCCTCCTGTGCCCCACCGTTCAACTAGCATGTCATTTACTTGTAATGTGTTACCAGTTCCAGAGCACAAGGTGTGTCTAACAGATTCTCCACCTGTACCCAAGCGCGTAACAAGTCGTGCCCTACCTAAGCCTCCGTCAGCTCATGCAAATCAATTGCTATTAAAACAGATCTCAAATGGCTGCAGTAAACCTCTTGGAGGCAGCTTGGAAGGTAAACGTCGTAGTTTCATTAAAGAAACGCTGGGCTTGTCTAGTACCAAGAGACCACAAAGTGATTACTGTGAATTGCCCAGCTTAAGTGAAAATCCTGCTGGGATGTTAGAGGAGCTACAGAGGATGGCAAAGGTAGAGGAAGAGGAAGAGAAGAGGAGAAGATTAAGACCTGGAGGCAATGCCGGGCTAGAAGCCACTAGTCCGGGCGACACAGTTGGGCTGGGCACTGGCTGGGTCAGGGTCCAGCCGCACGTAGATCTTCAGGACCCACAGGTATGTGAAAACTTTAATACTCTACTCTTTATTCTAAATCATTCAAAAGTTCTGACTGTGTTTTCTTGTGATTAAATATTACAAAATGTTGTAATTCATTCCATATTTTATTATAAAACTAGGGTATAGTGATAATCTAGATTAGGTACATTGTCCCACATTAGTGGGTCAAGGAACTGGGTATAATGATGGTCTTGAAGGCTGTTTCATAAAACATGTTGGGAACGCTTCCTTCCCTGACATTGTTTTAGTTAGTGTTATGGGCTAAATGATCATGGGGTCATTGCTTAATTTTCTGATTAATATTTAATATAACTACGTAAATGGGAATTTGATTTAGGAAATACCTATATGCATAATAATAATAAAAATAAAAGCATTTACATGAATTCAAATTTATAATGGTTATTACCAGTAATGGTGGAGTTGTCACCACCAAATACTGTATTATCACATCAAAATTGATTTGTGCAGCTTAAATTATTATATTCCATTACCTATCCTAATGATTCAAATTTAATGAAATAATTTAATGAACAAGCACTTGAATTGAGAAATAACTATTTGAATTCTAATAAATATTGACTTAAAAACAAAATCCATCTTGAGTACAGTATGAAATCTTGGTGGTACAAGGTTTGGTCCTTGCACTGATGCTCTTTATCATCCTCATAGAAGACAGGAAAAAGCCACAGTTTTGTCATCCTTCGCACACACCACCAAAATGGCTATTAAAATGTCAACAATGGATGACACAAGAACTGCAATCAGAACTAAAATATTTCAATAAATTGTCAAGTAACTCGGGTTATTTTCAAATTTTGTATAAAATCTCTTTTGTTTAACAAAACTGAAAAAGAAATTCCTGACATTTAAAACCTGTGTATAGCAAACTGAACTTTAAAACTTTATCCTAAAATTCTGAGTGTCTTAACAGAAAACGAAGAGAATAAATGGGGAGGTATATGTAACAGCCCCGTAAGTGCAATTATGTACTATGTATTGGCAGTCAGGAAATGTACTTATTACACTTAGTATTAAAATAAACAGTTCTTTTACTGCACCATTAGGGAGCCAGTCGGCCGAGCGGACAGCACACTGGACTTGTGGTCCTGTGGTCCCGGGTTCGATCCCGGGCGCCGGCGAGATACAATGGGCAGAGTTTCTTTCACCCTATGCCCCTGTTACCTAGCAGTAAAATAGGTACCTGGGTGTTAGTCAGCTGTCACGGGCTGCTTCCTGGGGGTGGGGGTGGAGGCCTGGTCGAGGACCGGGCCGCGGGGACACTAAAGCCCCGAAATCCTCTCAAGATAACCTCAAGATGGTCGAGGACCGGGCCGCGGGGACACTAAAGCCCCGAAATCCTCTCAAGATAACCTCAAGATGGTCGAGGACCGGGCCGCGGGGACACTAAAGCCCCGAAATCATCTCAAGATAACTGTAGAATATGTAGAACATTTGAACTACTGTGACTATCTGAAAGCATTCATATTGTTCTCCTTGGAATGGATGAAAATGAGAGAGATCTCATGATATACACATGAAAAGAACTGGAAGGTAAGGTCCCAAATCTGTACAATGAATGTACAACACACTGAAGTGAGATATATGATTGGAAGTGTAAAAATAAATTCTATGCATAGTTCGTTAACATAATTAAAGAACATAGTGTAAACATCAGAGGCTGATGACTTAAACCGTCTTCCAATTAATAGAAATATCGTTGGAAAAACAGTAGAATTTTTCAAGAGAGAAATGGATAAATTTCTGATGTAGTTACCAGATCAGCCTTGCTGTGATGGCTCTGGGCTACAAAGATGCACATATCAGGCAATCCCCAGAAAAGGCTGTCCCCCATGAGAAGCAAATTCTGCAGTTGTGCAGTATATGGAGGCAGCTTCGTCTAGTTGTCGCTTGTCCTATGTCTGACTTGTTGGTTCTCCGGGGTGGCCGTGAGGGTCTTTCCCAGAAGGATCGTGCCAGGGTTTGGGGTTCCTTTGGTCATGGTAGGCCAGTGGTGCCAGTTTTGGAACTGATGTTGCCTTCAAAGCCAGCAGCGTCTGGTCGGTGTGGTGGTGATCGCTCTGCACGTTAGTCGGCTTCTCGTAAGGGGCGTCGGCCCAGCGGCCCTTATGGAGAGGGGGGATTCACGCTGTTTGCTTATGCCTGGTCCCACGTTTTGTGGGTGTTTCGGGTTGTTTCCTTCGGCCTGCGGTGGCATTAGGTGGCTTCCCCATCTTCGGGGAGTTCGGAGTTCGTGGGACAGGCCTCTTCTCTTGCTCTCTGTCAGGTACGCTTGGGCGTAATCGAAACAACCTTATCCTTCAGGTGGGTTTCACGCCAGTTTCCAGTCCCGAAATGGGACTGTACGGATCTGAGGTTTATTCTGGACTTGTCCCGTCTGGACCCTCTGGGTCTTTTGCCCCTCCTTTCAGAAGACCACTCTGTCCCAGGTCCAGCTTCTTTTGGACCCGGTGGCTTGGATGGTGTCTCTGGACCACCGTGACTCATATTAGCACGTCCCGATTCATCTTGGGGTTCAAAGACTGGCTCAGTTTTGTCGTGGGGCGACAAGCTTACCTTCATTGCCTTCCATTCGGCTTGAATCGAGCACCTCATATTTTCACATGCCTTACCTGGGTCGTGGTAACCCGCTTGTGACTCCCGGGTCACATGTTGGTTACTCGAATAGCTGTGTGGGAGTCTGAACTTGCCTTTACTGTTTTACAGCCAGGTCGGGTCTGGTTTTGGCAGTTCTTCTGGTTTCTTTGGGGACCACTCTGCCACTCTCGCGATCACTGGGTTCAACCTCCAGGGGCCTTGCATCGGCTGCTGCGTCGCCGGCTTCCTCTTCGGGTTTTTCGGAGTTTAGTGTCTTAGCGCCTACCCGAGCCCTCGATCGATGTGTATCGTGCGGCGCAGGTGGAACCGCTGCAGCTTGTGTTCGGGGTGGATGTTACTTCCACTCTGTTTTACAAGCTTTCTCGTGCGTTGTCTCGGTGGGTGGGGGACGCGCTTTGGGTTGACCTGGTTTCCATTCTTCCCTGTTCCAGGGCTCGGGTCTTCCAGGTCATCCACATGATTATTCGGTCCCGCCAGCCTGCAGTCTATCCTCGTGCCCATGACGTTCGCAAATTTGCAACTTTAGCTGCCATTTTTGGTAATATGTCTTGGGCTGACGTTTGGGAATCATTTAACCATTACTTCATCAATGTTCCTGGTCCTAGTTGAGCGTGTGTCGCTTTGGGTCACAGGTTGCAGCCAGTTGTCTCGACTTCGAGTTGAGGTGCAAGTGGCAGCTGCCTCCTCAAATCCTTCTTTTATTTTTCTGTGGTTAGGTAGCTCCAGGGAGCCCGAGGGGCTCTCCACAGAAAACCAGTGTTGAATGTAATGAAATGCCATTTTATGGGTGAGTCCTGGAGGCTCCCTTGCAACCCTTCCTCCCTCCTGTAGGCGGTATTCATGTTTTTTATATTCAGCCTCAGGACTGGGGTGGATGGCTGGCGTGGGGTTTTGGGGCTTCCCCTTTCCCTCCCGGGGAGGGGGAGCTGTGCAGACAGCAGCATGGCGGCAGTTGTGACGTCTTGCTTGTTTGCTTGGTTTTGGATTGGGAGTTCTGCTTGATAGTTCAGCTTTCGGTAGCAATTTTAACCAGGTGGCATTTGTTTTGGGATGCCTACCTTTCTGGGTGCCTAACCCGGTCGATGGCAGACATAGAATTCTTCCAACCACAAGGGGGTTTCTATAGGCCATTGCTCCTCGTGTGTCTCTGCGGGGGCCAGGTTGTGGCTCGTGATCCCCCGGTAGGCATAGTAATTGACCGATGCCACGGTTTAATACATACATATCAGCCCGGTAAGCTCCGGGGAGTCTCCGGGACACCCTGAAAATGGCATCTCATTGCATTCAATGCTATTCGCCTATTTTAAACAAATAGGCGAACATGAATGCAAATTCAGAGCCACACCTTTTAGGAGTTAATTGTTAGAGAAAATGGTCATACCCTCATTTGGCATTATGGCTATGCCAGTTAAGCTGATCAAATTGTATAGAGTATTATTAGTTTCAAGCATGTTTAATATGAGTACAGTGGTACCTCGGAATGCGATTGTCCCTGTATGCGAGGTTTTCGGAAGGCGAGGTGTATTTACTCCAAAAATTTGTCTCAGAAGGCGAGGGTTACTTCGGGAGGCGAGTTTGGACGCGAGTTTGTTGATACGCGTACAGCCGACCTAGCGCGTTCGTCGCCCCTCCGCCCCTCAGTTTATTATTGTCTCGCGCTCAGTGACTACCCCCACATCAATTCTTCTCGCGGATTTTCAGTGTTTTGTTGGATTTTTGGTGATTTGTCTATACAATTTGTTATTATATATCTCACCATGGGTCCCAAGAAAGCCAGTGGTAAGGATAAAGGCCAGAAAGCTCATGTGAGGATGACAATAGAGGAGAAACAAGAGATCATTCGGAAGCATGAGAACGGTACACGTGTTGTTGAACTTTGTAGGCAGTACAACAAAGCCACATCAGCAATATGCACTATACTTAAGAAGAAAAATAAGATTATGGGTGCTAAAGTGGCAAAAGGAGTAAGAACATTAACGGCACAAAGACCACAAATACTTGAAGAAGTGGAAAAGTTGTTATTAATTTGGATACACGACAAGGAGTTGAGGGGTGATAGTGTTTCGGAGGCCATTATTTGTGAGAAAGCCAGGGTGTTGCACGAAGACCTTCTAAAGAATACCCCTGCAACGAGTGATGCAGATAAGAAAGAGTTTAAGGCAAGCAGGGGCTGGTTTGAAAAATTTAGAAAGAGAAGTGGTATCCATAGTGTTACAAGGCATGGGGTTATGTGATGTGATTATGGAAGGGGACTCCCCTTCCAAACAGTAACTCCTCTCCTCCTCCCCCCTCCTCACCATCTTCCATACGCCTACAGCACTCGACAGCAAGGTAAGTAATAACTGGAACACAGTTTTGTAGGTTTATTTAGATGAATTAGGTAAATTAGGTATAAAAATTTAGTTTGATGTGGGGTTTTTGGGGTAGTCAAGAACGGATTAATTCATTTCCCTTTATTTCTTATGGGGAAATTAACTTCGGAATGCGAGTTTTCGGAAGGCGAGGCGTCTCCAGGAACGGATTAAACTCTTATTCTGAGGTATGCCTGTATGTGATCTTATCTTGAGATGATTTCGGGGCTTTTTTTAGTGTCCCCGCGGCCCGGTCCTCGACCAGGCCTCCACCTCCAGGAAGCAGCTAGTGACAGCTGACTAACACCCAGGTACCTATTTTACTGCTAGGTAACAGGGGCATAGGGTGAAAAAAACTCTGCCCATTGTTTCTCGCCGGCGCCTAGGATCGAACCCAGGACCACAGGATCACAAGTCCAGCGTGCTGTCCGCTCGGCCGATCGGCTCCCCATAATTGATAAGTGTGCATACTATTTTAGGCTTTGATGCCTTCTTTTAATCATTACTTAATGTTTTAGGCTCGAGCTAATCTGTTGGATGGGATGATGGAGTCGAGTGAGGGTTGCAGCTCGGAAACAGAGGAGGATGAGGTAGTTGGTCATCATTACTCTCAGCTTAGGTCCATGCATCGAAGTAGACGAAAACGTAAAGGTAATTACATTTATAAGTTTCTATTATTTTGCAGCTTAGAAATTAATGTTAAATAATTATAGAGATCAATTAGTACATGGTACAGATGACCATTTGTATAACATTGATTATTATTGTCATATGTTACTATGCTATCTTTTCCAGGAGTTGATATATCATTGCTGTGCACTCTGGTAATAATTAACTTTCAGAGAGATTATCATCACTAGTGTTAGTGCCTGTGTTTTGATTGAGAGAAGTGTTGTCAGTGGGCTGATGTACACCAGTCCATTACCCTTACATTGCTAGTGCTAAAGAGAATTATCACAAGTGCACTTTTGTAGCCGTTGTAAGTGGCAGGAGACAAGTTCCCTATTGGCTTAGTTTTGATGGTGAAACACACTGTTAACGTAATTAACCTGTGGGTAGTGTGGTAGTGTTCAGTTATTTTAAGAAATTAGTATTAAGTTCCACACACTTTCAATTAAACTCCTTTCCCCATACTACTATCACAATTCAATTATACGACTCCCTTATTCACTTAATAATTCTTGACACATCTCAAGGGTAGAGGTGCCCCAGAGAATTTCATCTTTTAAAAATTTTGATGTAGTAACCCATAGCGTTCTATGCCCTCTAGTGACTTTCATTTGGGCAGGACAATGCCTGACCACAAGAGTTTGATGTCATAGTGGAAGAGTTTATATCCTCTGGTTATTGTCTCGGCCACTGGCGTGTCAGTGTCTTGTTGTTAACTCTTTTTGGGAACTCATCCTGGACTGTTGCAAATGCCATAAGCAATTGCAGGTCTTCTGTGAGAAATTCCCAGGTATTACACCAGTCCTCTCTCTCTCTTTTTTTCCGCAGATGGGCATAGGAGAGGAGGACTTCTGACTCTTAATGGACTTGAAATTTTCCATTTCACAAGCTCATCTTAAACCTTACCCAACTTCTTGTTTTTACAGGAATATTACTTCCTAATTTGTTTACAAATTAGCCCCCCCCCCCCCGAATTGTTGTTGGGTGAACAGAGGTGAATAGTTAAGGATTGGTGCCCAAACAACTCCCTCTGCACAGTGTTGGAACCTAGGTAAAATCTCTCATGAGGCATTAGTCCAAACAAACTGCCACTGCTCCATAGGAACTACGAACACTGCTTGGTTCATGGACAGGAGCATTGAATAAGGCAAGTGAGCAGCTGGCCAGGCAAGAGCATGTATTACAGGCCCACAAAACACACTCAAATCTATCAGTGAGTGTGTATTTGGCCATTCAAAGGTCACCATTTTAGTAATGGGTGTGTGTGTATGAGAGAAGAGTGTGTCACGTGGTAACTTTACCTAAAGAAGTCAGGTCGAGAGAATATGAAAGGGTTAATGACAATACAGTGTTTAGTCTCAATAAATTATGGAACATTATGTAGTAATTTTTGAGATAAAGTTATAAATAGCAGCAGGACAACGTAGAGGCTGGAGATAGCAAAGAGCCACAGCAGGGCTGTAGAACTCGTGAGACTAGCACTACTGCTGGAATTGTTGCTATAGGAGAAGAAAAGATATTTTTTGCTCAACCAATACAATAATCTGAGGAAGCTTTGTACCTGATATGACACTATACCTGATATCTACTTTGATATACTATAGTGTAGTAGTTTAATTTGTTAAAGTAAAGCATATGCAAACTTTTTCTGTTTAGCAATTGCCGTTACACTCATTCAAATTTAAGTTCTACATTACTTCTTGCATTTGTTTATTTCAGCTTCTGTGGCAGGTGATGGCCTTAGGAATTTGTAGTTGCTGGAGGAAGTCATTGGTTGTCTTTTGATCCATATTGGAGTTTGATTCCTGGTCCAGAGGATTTTTCTCTCAAAATGGATAGTTTTCTTATTCACTGTCCTAGTATTTGCTGGACTCTCTTGCTCCTCCGGGGATTCATTTCTAGGTCCTTGTTTATGACTTGTAAATCCTTCCTCCATTCCCAACTCTGTGCACGTTTTCCATTGTCTAATCTTTCCCCTAGCTTGGCTCGCCTGGACTCTCCTTAGTGTTTGCTTTAATATCAGTATCATGCTTATGAACTGCATTGCAAATCTTTTCAGTTCAGATCCACCTCCACCTCCTTGACTTCATTTTAGTTGGAAGGCAAACCCCTTTTTTTCCATGCATAAGTGGCAGCTCAGAGACTTAGTGGAAGAAACTTGGCTATGTGTCTAAAGTCCTTTCTTGGAGACACTTTTTGCATGGCAGTCACCTGTGTTATGTTGGCTCCTGCCATTCCGTGTGATATTGGAACATAGCAGGTCCTTGTCCAGGTGCCTAGGTTGTGGTGGACTACACAACTTTTACCCACTTAGCAGAGGTTAACCATTTTTTCTATACTGTGTATGAGATTATCTGTGAGCTTGAAAAGATGATCTTGGGAACATAAGCTATTCCTAAGATGTTCACACTGATCTCACAGTCACTGTGATAGACTTCTATGTAGCTCATTGTGTCTGCTGGCTTGCCATTTTGGATTTTTTCCAGGAGTCTGATTGGTCGCTCTCTCTCATGGTTTGCTAACCAGTTTTCTTTCCTCCGTTTAGCAGGGAGTAGGAAGGTGGTTTTGTGAGTTTTAGCTATATTGGGTGCTTTCTTTCAGCCCCTCAATCTGGTGTTTCTGGTGCAATCTACGGCTCCAGTACAGGTTTCTGGAAGTTTCATGTTCTTCAGACACCTGGATGGAATAGTAGTTCTGGGACCAGATTCACGAAAGCACTTACGCAAACACTTACGAACCTATACATCTTTTCTCAATCTTTGGCGGCTTTGTTTCCAATTATTAAACAGTTAATGAGCTCCGAAGCACCAGGGAGCTGTTTATAACAATAACAACAGTTGATTGGGAAGTTTTCATGCTTGTAAACTGTTTAATAAATGTAACCAAAGCCGTCAAAGATTGAGGAAAGATGTACACGTTCGTAAGTGCTTGCGTAAGTGCTTTCGTGAATCTGGCCCCTGGTATGCCTGTAGCCCCAGCCCAGCCTCTAGAGTTGCCATAACAGACAGAAAATGGTGTACTAAAACACTCAAATCTACTCTAACCAATCAACCTAGGATATGTTTGTGAACTGCTATAATATATAATACCACTTTATTTGTCCGTTGGGAGTTTTGACATCAAAATGTGGTGCATTGTTCGAGAGGACAGGTGGACCTTTTTCACCCCCTTCCCTGTGAGGTGGAAGGGGTTTCGTTTGGCTGCTCATGAATGAAGAAGTGAGCTAGCAGGTATCCCAAGTGATCTGGGCTGCCACCTGGTGGCAGTCAGGCACAATATCGTTGGCATATATATATATATCACTACAACAGTCCTTTGCTTCATTACTTTTGGGTGTCTAATTTTCCGTTAACAGTTGCTTGTTTTGTTGTGCTTATGCTCTCTGGTGTTTCTTTCCTTGATTTTGAATTGATATATGATCCTTGTGCTCTTCTTGCCTCCTAGAGAGCTCAAGACTGGTCCTGGCTCCCGATAGGCAAGGGTGGATCTTGGAGATGTGGTTCATCGCCCTAAGATTTAGCTGGACCAGCACTTAGCTCGAGAAGCTGCTGAAGCCCCCCACCAGAAAAGGGCATTTCATTACATTAAAAATTTGATATTCTTTTTATGGGGATTTGGCTCCCTGGAGCTATCGGGCTAGTGTGATATATTAGACCGGCGCATTAGTCTAAGGAATTCGACCTACCAGGGACCACGAACCAGAACCTGGCCCCCTCAAAGAGGTTTCAGGGAGCAATGGCCCCCTGGTAAACCCCCTGTGGTTGGGTTTTTTCCTTATCTGCCATCGATTAGGGTTAGGCACCCAGAAAAGTAGGCATAACAAAACAAACCCCACATGGTAAAAAAAGTACAACGAAAACTGAAAAGAGAGGTAGAACTCCCTCCAATGCAGACGAGGAGTCACAATAACGTGGCTGAATATGTTGACCAAACCACACACTTGAAAGTGAAGGGACGACGACGTTTCGGTCCGTCCTGGACCATTCTCAAATCAATTGTCCAATCCCTTCAATTCCAAGGAAACAAGCAAATGTCACACACCACTGCTGCATCGCTCGTCTGCGCAGCCCTTCCCCTCCCCTCCCCGGCTACTCAACACTCCAGTTTGTTAGCTAATGTGGTCCGGGGCAGATGTCTGCCCTGGACCACATTAGCCAGGTCTAGTTTGGGACTCTCGGACTGCTTCCATGTCTCTCCCTTCGAAGGCATTGCTGAGGCTGTGGTCCCACCTTTGGCTGTTTCTGGGGGGGGGAGGGGTGAGTCCCGGGTCACTCGGTAATTGCTTGAGCAGTTGTGCAGAAGTTTGAACTTCACCGTTCTGGTCTACCTGCTGGGTCGAGTTTGGCTTCAGCGTCTGTTCTGGTTCCTTCGGGGACGCCCCTTCCACTTCTCTTGCGATCGCTGGGTTTATACTCTGGGGGCCTTGTGTCGTTTGCTGCGTTGCTGGCTTCCTCTTCGGGGTTTTCGGGGTTCAGGGCCTTGGCTCGTACCCGAGCCCTCGCTCGATGTGTTCATGGATGCGTCATTTCTTGGCTGGGGCTTTGTGACCAGTGCTCACCAGGCAAGCCAGGGGCGATGGGGTCAATCTTTCTGTTGGGCACACAGCACGATGCGGGAGTTTGTGGCAGTTTGAGTTTGGGTAACTTGGGTTCGACTATCCAGCTCCATTCGGACTGTTCTCTGGTGGTTCATTGGCTGAACAGCGGGTGTTTTCTTTAGTCCTTGCCTCTTTGGGGCTGGTCACTTCGACAGGCTCGACTGCTGGATTCTCTGGGTTTGGCTCTTCATTGTTGTTCATATCTGGGGAGTGTCCAACATCCTGGCAGATGGCCTTTCTCGGTTCATTCCTCTGTCCACGCAATGGACGGTCGACGCCGACTCCTCCTGTTGGCTCTGCCTGATGTATGGCCTCCCGGATGTGGACCTCTTCATGTTGGAGTGGTCTTGGCGTCTCCCGATCTATTTGGTGCCCTTCCCCGACT